TTTACGTGTTGTTTTTTTGTATAATGCCAACTATATTCTATTTATACCAATGAATCTTTTCTTTATCATAAAGGTGGTCCGAGGGAATAGCATCATCTTACTGGAAGCACTGGATCGTGTGTGAGGATCACTTTGACAGTTCTGTGTGGGTCAAATGTTTGTTGAGAAAAGGCGGAGATGGATGTCAGGAGTGTGATAGTGGGAATGACAGACATGCGGGAATAGAAGGAGTGACAGACACGAGGGAACAGATGTGGAAAGGACGCAAGCAGACCAATTCATATGACATTTATACATTCATTTCACATCAAGTTATTTAGACATATATTTGTCTATTTGTATGGTAGCGTTTACGAATAACATGCAATTTATATACTCTTTGTTTCTCTGCTTCTATCATGTTAAAAGTGAACAACTACAGAATTTAATGACCAACGAAAATTTGGAAAATTCTGTTAGAATTATGAATAATTTGGAAACTACAACAGATCTGCTATTTAATGATTAATTCATCATGTTTCAGTTTAACCCTTTCAACCATATGTAACTTTAGTAGACTTTCCCATGCATCGATCTGGATCTGGAGTCCATTATGGTCTACAGTGGTGAAAGGGTTTACAGATAACAGAAAATCATTATACATTTATACTGTGAGAGATAGGAGTTCTCATTAAGCCTAGAATTCATATTACTGTGTCATCAGGTGTCGATAAGGTTTCATCTTGTTTTCTTATTTTGTGTCGGTAGTTTTTATTAAATGGATGATTGAATTAACACCACCACTTTGAATTATTTTTGTTGCATTAACACCAGTAAAGGAGCAGTGTATTGTCATCTCATTTGATTTTTCGGACTAGTATCTTCTCCATGCCTGCAAGACTATAGAAGTGTGTTTTGTACGTATCAGGTATTTAGTAAATATAAATCTTATGGAATGTCTTTTCTTCAGATTGTCCATATCTTAAATTAAGTTATTAGCTCACCTGGCTCGAAGGGCCAAGTGAGCTTATGCTGTGGTGCGGCGTCCGTCCGTGAATATTTTACTTTAAACAACTTCTTCTGGGCCTGTAGCATGCTGAGACAAAGAGCTACCAAGTTTGTTCAAATGAATGACCTTGACCCACTTTCAAGGTGACATGGGTCAAATGTCTTAAGGTCATAGGAGTATATTGCTAAACGGAAATAGGAAGTACATCCCTAGTTGAAAACCCAATATACCAGGTATTTAGTAAATATAAATCTTATGGAATGTTTTTTCTTCAGATTGTCCATATCTTAAATTAAGTTATTAGCTCACTTGGCCCGAAGGGGTACTGATATTGGGCCTGTAGCATGCTGGGATGAAGGGCTAACAAGTTTGTTCAAATGAATGACCTTCACACATGTATATTGCTAAACGGAAATAGGAAGGACATCCCTAGTTGAAAACCCAATATACCAGGTATTTAGTAAATATAAATCTTATGGAATGTTTTTTCTTCAGATTGTCCATATATTAAATTAAGTTATTAGCTCACTTGGCCCGAAGGGGTACTGATATTGGACCTGTAGCATGCTGGGATGAATGAACTTGACCTACTTTTAAGGCCACAGGGGTAAAATGTCTGAAACTCTTCAAACGACTTCTACTCAATAACTAATAGGCCAGGGGTACTGATATTGGACCTGTAGCATGCTGGGATGAATGAACTTGACCTACTTTTAAGGTCACAGGGGTAAAATGTCTGAAACTCTTCAAACGACTTCTACTCAATGACCAAAAGGCACAGAGTACTGATATTGGGCCTGAAGCATGCTGGGATGAATGAACTTGACCTACTTTTAAGGCCACAGGGGTAAAATGTCTGAAACTCTTCAAACGACTTCTACTCAATGACCAAAAGGCACAGGGGACTGATATTGGGCCTGAAGCATGCTGGGATGAATGAACTTGACCTACTTTTAAGGCCACAGGGGTAAAATGTCTAAAAATCTTCAAACGACTTCTACTCAATGACCAAAAGGCACAGAGTACTGATATTGGGCCTGAAGCATGCTGGGATGAATGAACTTGACCTACTTTTAAGGCCACAGGGGTAAAATGTCTGAAACTCTTCAAACGACTTCTACTCAATGACCAAAAGGCACAGAGTACTGATATTGGGCCTGTAGCATGCTGGGATGAAGAGCTACCAAGTTTGTTCAGATGAATGACCTTGACCCACTTTCAAGGTCACAGGGGTCAAATGTCTTAAAATCTTCAAACCACTTCTCAATAATCAAAAGGCCAGGGGTACTCAGTGCTCCAGATAGCTTGCGTGAATGCATATTCACGCACGATAATTCACAAATTACGCCAAAGAAAAAAAAATGAACTTGCTTAATTCACGCAAGCAAAATCCGGAACATTGCGTCAGTCTCCGGGACCAATTTAGCAGATTACAATACGCTTACAAGTGAGTCACTGAGACGCTTGCATAGTACTCCTGTTACAAACGCTTATATGAGCAAGAATTGAATCATGGCGCTTTTAAAACAATCACTATTTGTCACTTGGTCTCATCTCTTTCGCTGCGTAGTAAATTGTCCTAAATACAGAATTGGCACAGTCATCTGTTTTACTCAGTAACTTCATCATCGTCGATGTCTTCCATTAATGTTGGGACCGTTTCATGAAGTGTGTTTCTTTTTTCAATTGAAGTTTCTTTAGTAATACTTTCAATAGCGGACAAGTGATAGTCTGATTATTCGTGTCGGTTAAGGACATTTTTTTTAATATTCCAGCAGCCCTTTGTGAAAACGTTGTCCTTCTAGTGTTTGGAGCACGACGAACATTTCAAGTTCAACAAGGTTTGGCCATCCGATTGACCAACAGTCTTGACCGAGATGTCAGCCACGGGAAATGGTTTTTCCATCCACAAACGGTCGCACGCTTCGATAACAATTTGTGATGTTTCATGCCACACCCTAATATGATATTTTCGACCCCATTTTAAATAGATATGTGGCATTTTATTAGCTCACCTGGCATTCGTGCCAGGTAAGCTTATGCT